GGAGGAATAGGTGTTGAATTCTTAACTTATATTAATTTTTTACTTGTGATAGTTTTGATTAATAAGGGAAGCTTTGCTAAGTTTTTGCAATCAAGAGTAGCTAAATTTCTAAATTTACCTATAGAATCAGCTCCTATGTTCAAGATAATGGTGGGAAATGAGACTATATGATTGCTGAGGAATTGATTAAGCAACTTATAATACAAGCTTAGGGAAACATTTTCCAGTTGCTTGTCTATTTGCTACTCATATCTAAGGCTTATCTAATCTTAGGTGCAAGCTAGTTGAAAACAATTAGGCCACATTTGGTTAACTATGAAGCTTTTTAGTTAAAGTTTTTACATGCTAAGAAATTAGCAATACTATAGGGAGAGATTGAAAATACTCCTTCACAAATGCAATTACATTACATTTGCAAAATAGTTCAAACTAATTTGATTGCTTAGATGTTTAGTATGCACTTGGTTGATTTACATGCACCATAACTGCCAACATTTGAGCTTAACACAGATGTAGAGCCAAAGTTAGCCTTATTGCTCCATACATATAGTTCTGTTCTCCTAATACCTTACTACCTCCATAAGTCCAAGATCATTCAATTCCTTTGATAGAAGACTCTTTATCGATCAAAGTCAAGACGTATTATTATTCGTATAGTAAAGAAGAGTAGATTGAGAAATTTGTTGCTCATATGATTTAAGGCAAAATTATTCAATTAAGTACGAGTCTTTTTTCTTCTATTATTTTAGTTAAAAAGAAGGATGAGTTTTGGCATGTTTGCATAGATTATAGGACTTTGAGTGCTATTACAATTAAAGATAGTTTCCTTATTCCCACAGTGGATGAGTGAATTGATGAGTTTTTTCGTGCATATTTTTTTTTCTAAATTGAATTTACTTTTGGGATATCAAATTTTATTAAATCGAGCTGATGAACATGAGACAACTTTTGGTACCCATTATGAATGGTTGGTTATGTCATTTGAGTTGACAAATATATTAGTCACCTTTCAAAATATAATGAATGATATTTTTTATAACATGTTAATGAAATTTGTTTTGATGTTCTTTGATGACATATTAATATATAGTGCTACTTGGAAGGAACATTTGTATCATCTCGAATTAGTTCTTAGAATTTTGCAGCAATATTAGTTATATGCCCAATTTTCTAAATGTTCCTTTGGGGTTTAAAAGATTGAGTATTTGGGTCATACTCTTTCTTAAGCAGGAGTAGTCATGATTTTTGATAAGCTTAAAGATGTTCAAGCTTGGTCTCAACCTCAAAATATCAAGCAATTGCATAGTTTCTTAGGCCTTACTAGGTATTATCATCAATTTATGAAAGAATATGCTCAAATACCTCTACTTTTGATTGAGTTGCTTAAGATGGATTCATTCTTTTGAACTAAGGCCGGCACTGCAACTTATATCAAACTTAAGGTAGCTATGACATCAACTCTTATGTTGGTGATTTATAATTTTTAAGAACTTTTTGTGTTTAAAACTGATGCTTAGGTTTAAGTGTTAGGGCTATTTTAAGTTAAAACAATCATCGAATCACTTATTTCTTAAAGAAATTGTCTTCTAGGATGCAAAAGTTGTTTGCCTATACTTAGTGAGTTTTATGTCATCACTGAGGTACTTACTAATTTCATCATTATTTACTTGGTCACAATTTTGTAATTAAGACAGATTAATGGAGCCTTAAGGATTTATTAGAACAAAAATTATGAACTTCTAAACAACAACAATAGCTGCCTAAGATTCTAAGATTTGATTTTACCATTCAATGCAAGCCTAGTAAGGAAAATATTTTTGTTGATACACTTTCTTGTAGTTTTATGTTGGCTTAAACATAACCTAAAAATTGTTGGTTAAAAAAAGTTAGTAATTTTAGTTAAGAAAGATGTTAAGTTGAAAAAGTTGTATGTTCAATGTGACGCTAAAAGTTTACATGGCAAAGACTATACAATAAGGAATAGAGTATTATTATGGAAAGAAAATGTTATGCTTCCTTATAATGAAGAGTTGATTAATCAAATTTTAAATGAATTTCATTGTTCTAAATTGGATGGTTATGCAAGCATTACCAAAACCTCCATACATTTGTTCTCAGTTCTATTGGTCATAAATGCATAAGGATATTAGGCAATTTGCAGGTGAATGCACAATGTATCAACAAACTAAGATGGATTATGCATTACCTTCACAGATATTGGAACTCTTGCCCATTTCACAACATGTGTGTGATGACATTGCCATAAACTTTATCACACAATTGCCTCCTTCTCATGAGTATTCTACCATCATGGTGGTAGTAAACATGTTGTCTAAATTTGGACACTTCATTCCTTTAAAGATATATTTTAGTAGCAAAATAATGGTTGAAGTTTTTGTTAGTAACATAGTGGTATTCTTAATTCTATAGTTTCAAATCGTGATAAAGTTTTTGAGTTTCTTTAATCAATACTTCATTTAAGCATAAGGTACTACTCTAAGTATGGATTTTTTTTATCACCCACAAACTGATGGACAAACCAAAACCTTGAATATGACCTTAGAGATGTATCTCTATTGCTTGGTATTCAATGTTACCTTGGACTTAATTTTAGTATAATTCTTCTATATATCATAGCCTTGGTATGTATCATTTTAAAGCTTTATATGGTTGAGATCCACCCTTTGTGGTGCGCTATGAGGTCTATTTTAAAGATCCTATTACTATCTAGGAGGTTCTACGACATGAAATGAGTTGCTATAACAATTGAAAGCTAATTTATTAAATGCTAAAAATTATATGAAATAGTTGGAGGACAAAAGAACAAGACATTTGCATTTAAAAGTGGGTGACTTAGCATTGGTGAAGCTCCAAGCTTATAGACAATATTTCGTGGTGTTGTGCAAAAACTAGAAGTTGAGTTTGTGCTACTTTGGTCTAATTTTGGTTTTGGCATGCACAGGATCAATAGCCTATAAGTTTCAACTACTTGACATTAGTTGTATTCATCCTCTCTTTCACATTTTCTTATTGAATAAGTTTTTAAAATATTATCTCATCTTCATATTCCATTACCTCTTACCACAAACAAGTTTGGTCCCAATGTTCAACTATTTAAGGCTTTAACTTATTGTACTATCATCTATCATTCGCAACAAATGCAACAAGTTCTCATTCAATGAGAGCAAATTGATCTTGAAGAAGCCATTTGAGAATATTATACTATTATTCAAGAATCTTATTCTCACTCCAACCTTAAGGACAATGTTGTTTTTATGGAAAGAGTATTATAACATGCAACCAATAAAGAACTTTAGACAGTAAAAAATTAAACTAAAATGCAGACGTGAAAAAAGACAAAATGTTTGTTATGCAAGATATTCATGTGACAAGCAATCCATAACAAACAATTGCAAGAGTCTAAAGGAAAATGTATTATTGAAGGATTATGTTCAGTAAGAGGATTATATGTGATATGTAAATTTTCTCTATTTTTGTTTTTTAGATATTTCTTTCTTCTTATTTTAAATTATTCTTTTTATTCTATCATTTGTCTATTGATTAACCATTAAGCATATTGAAATCCTAGTTAATTGATTATAGTCTATTTAATTCAATTTCTATTTCGACCGAGTTTTGTTGGGCATCCATGTCACAGAACCTTTCTTCTAGCCAAGAATCCCATTATACTATTGATAAATACTTACAAAACTCATAGAATTCGTTCATTTTATATTTTTATACTAATTTACTATTTTAATTTGACTCCTTCAAATTGCTGTATCAAGTAATTATTCAAAATTTATGTTCTAAAATGTAATTCAAAATTAAACTTATTGGGATGTTCAAAATTCAATTCTTCAATAAATTAACTATTTTTTCATTTAAAATTTTAATTTATTAAAAATCTTGTCGTTGGAACAAATAATAGATTTAATAACTTAAACAAATATCATAATCATTAATCTTTATCTCAAAATGTTTTTTGCGTTTATTAATGCATGAAATGAACGATGTGCATTGAATAATTTGAAAAATGCAACTTGCAAAGAACCATATATAGATGCGTAAGTGTGTTTAATTGTTAAAATTTTATTTGAACATTAATTTGAAAGTTATTTTAACAATACCTCATCTTTTATTTTTAGGTAAAGTAATTCCATCACTCGTGATTAACATATTTGTTCACATGTGTAGGTCCTCCATGACCTCATTACCGAAATTTTAGCCACACGTCTTTTTTCCTTTTTTACTCACTTTATTTTAGAAAGCCATGTTTATTTTATTTTATTTTCTTTTGATGGGGGACCGGGGCAGAAGGCATCAACCAAATATCTTTGTCCACATCACAAGTCATAGTCAATTCAATATAGTTGACGATTATCCAAAAGACACAAAAAAAGACGAAACAACATAGCATTCCTTGCTTGGGCCATAGCTAGCGTATTTACATGAAATTGTGATTGGCACAAACAATATATTCCATGAAGATACCGATCGAGACTCAAATAATTGTTACAATGCTCACCAGCTCTCCTTTATAGCTCCATCATCACTCACTAATCTTTTACAATTTAATTACAAAAGCTACCAAAAGACAAAAGTGGCAACATGCACCACCAAAAAGTAGACACCCCCCAAATCTCTACCTTCTGCTTCCAACAACGTGGGTTTCTCAAAACCACCACATGCATATTTTCTCCTCTTCTAATAGAAGAGAAAATAAATCATAAACTTAAAAAAAAAAAAAAGCTTGAAATTAGAGCTAGTTTCTATTTCCTAGCTTTAACTTTCCCAACATGCACCCAACCCAATTTCAATGGTTCAATATAAGGAGAGGGGAGATAATAATATTCACCATTCAGAACTTAAAAATTTATTTATTATATATACTGTAGGTAGTAAACTAAACGACGTCGTACGTGCTCAATGCGATATCCATATACACATAATCTCTTTGTTGTTGTTGTTGTTACGGTTTAGTTATAAACGACACTAATCTATTGTAGCACGGTGCCTAAAATTTGATATAGATCGGAGAGTTTAGACCCGAGGGTAACGGATTCGCATCTTAAGCGTTCATTCTCCACAGCTAGTAAAAGATTGTTGTGCATGGTGACGCATAACCGGTTTTTTAATTCTCGGTTTTCAATTCTCAACCGGTTCACTTGGTTCGTGAGGTTCTCCAAATGACGCTTCTTTCTCCAACGGGACCGCCTCGCTGATTCTCGGTTCGATTGCATTCGCCTAAGCTTTCTCTCGTGCGTCGAGTAAACCGCTCGGTTCGATCCCTGTGAACCGGATCCCGGACTGGCCGGTTCAACCGGTTGGTTAATGAAGGACAACAGCTCCTCTATATCACTTGGAGTGAACGGGGTTTCGAGAAACGGAAAACATGAGGACTGAACCGCTTCCTCTTCGTGGAAGAACATTGCTGAAGCCGCAATTATCGAAGGAATAATGAAAGAAAAAAAACCGGAATGTTCAAAAGAATGAACCGGAGGGAGGAAAGGAGGGGAAAAGGGAAGAACCGAAGCGCAGGGAACGAGAATTTAAAGGGTGAAAAAGGATGCACACAGCAACACGTGGGACCCACCGTAGCAAAAGATGTTGGAAAGCTAAGTGCGCATTTGTCCAAAGAAAATAAAAAGGAAAAGTTGGTTTCAGATGTACGTATGGGGGGTTGTCTTTCTTTTAGCCAAAAACATAAACTATTATTCAATCCAAAAATTGTTACAATTTTTTTTTATTATTTTAGCTTATAATTTTTTTAATTATGAAAATAATATAGATTTTTAAAATATGAATTTTTTTTAATGGTGTCATTTTTAAATGAGTAAAAAAAATTGTAGACAGAAATAGTAAGAAGATGTAACATTTATTTTATTCAAATGGATGCACACTTTAATGTATCTGGTGGTGGGGGTTCATTAGAGGATGATGAGCTTTTTTCTGGGTTATGGTAAAATAATGGGGTCCTCTATGAAGATTGGCTTTAGCTTAATGACGAAGGATCAATCAAAAACACAGTGCAACAAATTAGATTAGAAAGTTACCGGACACCGCCACTTAATAGTGTGCGCCGAAGTCATTTTGGACACGCACATGGAAGGTGAAAAAGGCAGTGAAAGTTGCCTTCATGAATATTATAGAAAATATATTATTGTGGTTAAGGTGGACGAATGAATGTTTAGTACGTGAAAAATCATGGCCACATAAGCCCACATAGCTATTATGGTTGTGGCTATGAATTGGCTCTTTTCCTCTTCCACCCCCATGCACCCACGTCGTCAATCTAAGGCTTTAATCACTTTAAACGTTCCCACAACATCAAATTTATAAAAATACATATGAAGATTTTTTGTATATAGTCGCATGACGCACAATGTAGCATTTGTCATGATTAAAGTAAGGGTTAGCTTCCACGTACGTATGTATCAATTATCTAAATGGCTCTAGATGAATGCCTTGAGAACATAGAGGAAAGAAATAAAAACAAATATACACAATGTTACAAAAGTATTATAGAAATTTTTAGTGTTGTTATCTAACTAAAATTAAAGTATCATCTCAATATAATTCAGATTAAGTGGGTATACGGAGAAGGAAATATAAAAAGCAGTGAACAAAGTGATCTATAATAAAACTGTTCTTCACATGGAGAAAATTATGGAGCCGATATAGGTCAGATCTTGGCTACGGATAATAAAGAAGAGCTGTGCCCATGGAAATTTTGAATGGGTTACAAATCTTATTCTTTGCTTAATTAAATTACTATCTATATGTTTGGAATAAATGAGTGTTTTTTTTTTAAATGTTTACTTCAATATTTTTAATTCCTGTTGGTTGCAGCTTTTCAATTGCGTGATGATCTATACAACAGTTTCTTTGAGGAGAATTACGGTTTAAGCTTCAGGTGTTTAACTGCTGTTAGCTATGTCTGATTAGATTCTATTGTTACTGCAGACAGTGAGGGTGGTCTTCACAGTTTGATTGTTCACGTGTGGCGCTTTTTATTAGTTACTAAGTCATGTTGCTATTGCCAACATAAGAAACGCTTATTATTAGTGCTGTTATTAAGTGGTCATAGGCTTACAGGGCTGTTCATATTATGATACTTTTATGGTGAGGATTTGGTATGTTGTTATTAGATGACATTGACATTTGTTTTATGGTGATTATATATTATATATAACAACACTGCTTAACGGGTCTGAATATCCTTATACCCAATCTTAGTAATATTTCAATTTGTGTGTATAAAAAAGAAGTGAATTTCGTGTGATAACAAGTTACCATAAACCCTTTAACTGACTAGAAATTATATTCATGCACAAATATATTCAATAGTTCATAGAGAGATAAAAAAAAAAAAAAACAAATACAAATGATATAGTTAATGTAATGGAAAAAAGATTAAAAAAAATGTATAGCTAGATTGATTTTGTGCCTATCATTTTTACTGGAAAAATTAATGTTTGTTGAACAATTTTTAAAAGTTTTTTTTTTTTTTTTGCAAATGTAATATATATATATATATATATATATATATATATATATATATGATTATTTTTACTTTGACGCGATGATTTTACTCATATATTCGAAGTATCTATTACATTCTTCAAGAATATGATTACTTTATCTACTAATATAATAATTTTTGTTCCATTAAAGTGAAACATTTTCTGGTGTCCTCCTCTTGTAAAATACGTGTATATGAAAAGATAGTATACAATGTTATAGTTTTATTATATATTTCACTAGCTAACAAACATGTGATCGAGTCCAGAGGTTGGAACGATTGATGGACATGGTTAAATGGCTATATACTCATGAGTTCAATAGTTTATTAAATAAACATATGAGAGGAATATTCTTTAAGGTAGTTTTCTTAGTTGAGCGCATTGTATATAGGTAAAGGAATCTACAGTTTTTGTTTTGGTTGGCAGTTAGTTCTCGCGAAGAATTAGCAAAATATTAAAGCATCTGTGAGTGGAGGATAACATGCGATCCCTTTTATTGGCGTTTCAGTGAAAAAGAGAGAATTTAGCAGCTGCGTCTTTTAGCAGTGCAAAGTAGTTTGCATGTGCTGCAAGTAAATTTTAATGGAAAGAGGCGTGTAGTATCATTTGGATGCCCTCTCCTTTATCCTTTGTCAAATGTATGCACGTTCTCTTGTACATGCATTAGAGTGCATGTCCCTTTAGCCTTGTTTCCTTTCATTTTACCTTCCCACACCTAATATCTTCATCATGAGGAGATGCCATGCCCACATCATCTTCTTCATTTCATGTAGTTATCAGCTAGTTCGTGATAATGGGCTTCAGTATACTAGGGCGCAATCATGATTATTATTATAAGTTAATGTCCAGCACACGAGTATCAAAGTGATGAAGAAGGTGTTCCTGTCTTGTAAACAACGAGAGAATGTCTATTATAGTTTTTTTTTTTCTATAATTATTTATAATTTCTGTTCAATTTTTTTTTATGGTTAATATGATTATAAGAGAGGGAAAAGGTATATAAAACAAAAAAAATATTTAAATAAAAGAGATAATAAACATTTATGTTTTGTTTGAAAGTTTAAAAGAAGAATTTGAAGAATAACAAAGGAAAGAAAAAAGAAAGAAAGATTAAAAAAATATCAATTTAAAAAGAACAATTTATGAAAACTTTGAAAATATTATAAAAACTTCTTTTCATATTAAAGAGGTAAACCAAAAGTTATCATTAAATAAATATTCTTTTTCCCTCCCTTCTTTCCTTAAATTAACTCTAAACGAAATTTTAGGACCATCAATAAATAGACCAAAAGTATCATTGTCCTCAAATCTTTTTTTTTTCTTCCTTTGTCCTTTCTTCTCAAATCATTACAGTTTGCAAGCAAAGAACAGCTCAGGGAAAGAGTTACGTACATGATTTGCTTAAGTATGCGAAATTAATTGGTTTATAAAAGTACAGTTATCGATTGCACTAACAGCTGGTTATAATTGGCTACGAGTTTATTATATTCATTCAGCTGTCTCTTTGTACCCATAAAAAATAATAAATTCTTTATGTACATTAAAATATTAAAGCAAATGACATTATATATATATTTTTTAATGTTTTCAATAATAAAAATAATAATAAAACAAGTTATAAATAATATTTAAATGAAAAAATATTATTTTATCAAAATTAATATATTTTCTTTAAAAAATTATTTAAAATTTTCACTTTTCAATATATATATATATATATATATATATATATATATATATCAATAATTAAAAATATTTTTATGAACATATGATATTAATTATCATTAAAACAAAATAAAAATAAAAAATTTATAATAATATTTTAAAAAATATAATTTTCTTAAAATAATTTATTATTAAAAAATGTTGATATAATGTTTTTATAAAAGTTTAAAATTATACTTTTTTAAATTTTTATTTATTTATCTTGTCCTAATACTTTTTCAATTAGAATTTGAACTACAAAAATAAAATAAAATAAACTCATATATAGAATGAGATAAATAAAATACTTTATCCTAACCACTGAACGGCTTCGAAAAGTAAAACATTCGTTCTTCTATGTAGTTGCTATTAACCATGAATATATATTTGATTTTAACCATTTAATCCTACAACAAAGTAGATAGAATGAGCAAATTATGATTCTATATAATTTAAACATACATCAAAGCTACCAATCAAGTCGTTGTAGTATAGTGGTGAGTATTCCCGCCTGTCACGCGGGTGACCCGGGTTCGATCCCCGGCAACGGCGAGTTTTACCTTTTTTATCCCCAATTTTATAACGATGCTGTTCTATTCGCTTGTTCCTTTTTCTTCTTTTTCCGTCGATTGTTATATATATTTTTGGGCCGAAATAGAAAGTAAATATGGCCCAACCCTAAGGAAGCTGGACACAGCCTTTTCTCATAAGGGTAAGGTGGGCCTTTATGATCTGTAGTCAACTCTTTGTAATGGCAAAAGCATTTGCAACTCTGATGGCTGTTAAACATTATCACAATTCGTAAACATACTCTGGATGCCATAAAGCATATGTTAACTGATAAATTTACAAAAGTGATATTTGATATATTTTTGAAAAGTATTGGGGAAGATCTTCACAACAACTAATCATTTGAATTATATCAAGAAGACTGTGATTAAGATATTTTCTTTTTGTATTTTTCGTTTGAATTGGTAGGGGTAAAAACACGCGTAGATTAAAAAAAAAGGGATAGTAGTTATTTAATTCGAATTGTTAGAATATGTATTTAATACTTGTTAAAAGAAACAAGTGAAATAAATTTTAGTTATTTATATTTCATTAGATAAAATTTCATTATTTTTATCATATGAAAGTAAATTAAATATTTTTTATTATATATAAGAGATAAAATTTGAAATCTTTATATGAAAAGGTGAAAAAGTGGTTTAAGAATTGAACATATTTCTTAATTGATGTTAACTTAAGAGTTTTACTAACTAATGCATTAATAATAATTTTGTATAAAAATATTATGTTAGAATGTATTGAAAATTATAAAAGTCAGTGTACTTTTACATTGTTTTTAATAAAATATAATTGTTTTAATTTTTAAAATTTGACGAGTAATTGATTTAAGGTGCGTGCTTAAGTTTTAAATTCAAATACTATACAAACGAAAATTGTTAGAAGAGTTAACTTTAGTATATTGTGAATATTTTTTTATTCAAGTAAATTGTCTCTAAAGAAAATATTTATGGTCTAGAACTTGATAAATTAGCAGTAAAAACAATTTGTAGGGATGAACATTTTGTTGGCCTTCACACTTTTGCATACTCTCTGTCCGACAGAAGAAAGCATTGAAAGTTTTATAATCTTTTTTTCTTGATGAAACTCATGAAATCAAATAAAGTTTTTACTAAATATAGTATCGAATAATGCATTTTAAAAGTTAGTTTAAAAAATTGTTTTCCTATTTTTTCATTTTTATCCATTCAAATAACATATTTTTCTTATCTCATTTTTCATATATTTTGTTTTTCACCATTTTAAAAGAACTTTTACTCATTTTCTATCAAATGGAAACATACAATTAAAGATGTTCCTATTTTGAGTATTTTTTCAAGCGCATCTACTTTTCTTGGACTTCGTGTCCGGTGAGTAATGGGAAAAAGTAGAAAAAAGTAAAAGAAACTGTGAATGAGGCGATGATGATGACCAAAACGACACACATCATGGACATGGGAGGGACATACACATAGACACACAACCTTTTTCAAAAGAAAAAACAAATATTTCAAAGCAACTTTAGTCCTTGCTGCCACCCATTAACTTTTGCTTAGTTTATCTCGTGATTATTCAGCCAGAGAGCATGCCCAATTTTCAATAATAACTGCTAATTGTATCTTTGGAGAATCAAAAACCAAAACTCAAACAAAGCCTTACAAACACTCATCATCACTGTGGTGATCCCAGTAATAATGTTTCCGATCAAAACATTAATGAGTCCTTAGTTATATATTTTAATAAAAAAATTATAACTAAGTTAATTTAAATACATTTTAAGTACATTTAACGATTGGTAATTAATTCTATCAAAATTAATTTGAATCAACTTTAAAATAAATGAGTCCTGAATTGAAATAAGCCTTAATTAAAAAAATTTCCACAAGTCTGATAGTTACCATCGACATTTGTAACAAGCTTAATTCAGGAAATTCAAAAGTTGAGCTATGGTTCATAAATCATAATTTCTCCATGTTCTACCTTATCTACCCATCTATGGTAATGAACCCAATGCCACAGAAAATCTTATATTCCGAGTAAACAAAGTGGGCTATCCACACAAATTATCAACCCTCCGGCAATCAACCTTGCAACAAAAAAATTTTATTTTCGCATTGCACTTAAATCACTCTTGAAAATTTGTGTATATTCAAAGGCAATGAATGAACATTGCTGTCTAATTTCATTCACGATGTTGAAATTACATTAAGCTTTAAACGCACAATTGTAAGAACTCCCCCGCATTATATTATGAAACATTTCATCATCATCATCACTTACCAAGAAAGAAAAGACGTTGACTTTCACTATTTAGTCAACAAGTAGTGCTCAAGCTCAACTCTTCTTGGCTTTAACTTTCCTTCTTCGGGTGGAATCACGTTGGCGAAGATTTCCATCATTGAGGATCAAGGGCAAGTCATCGTTGGCATCTTCTTCACCATCTTCATGAGTGGCGATGCGGATGCAACAATGTTCCAATGATGCAAAGAAAGCGGTTGTGACACCATTGATGAACCACATGGCTACCCCATCAGGCTTTCCACAACCACGAACCTTGGATTCACCACTATTTGTTGATCGGAGATTGAAGAAGCCATTGCAGCTAGAAGAGGTACTAGTGGCTGCCATGGTTTGATCAATTGAAAATGGCCACAGCCACAATATGAAAGAGCTTAAGAAGCAGGTTTTGTAACTAATGAACTCTACCTAGGTTTAGTTATAATTATATGATTTGATTATATTATATACACAAATAGAAATGAATAAAACTATGATATTAAGTTACTTTTTTTGGTTCAATTATGTTGGTACTATTAATATTTTTCAATTATAGGAATATTAAAATGAAAACAATCAATAGTGCTACTTGATAATGATGGGGCTTCAAGTCACGGGAAGGGCCCAGTAATAATGGTCTCAGTATATATTGCTTGTAAAAGTAATATTTATACAAAGCACATGCATGCACCATTTTTACTAGGACCGAATTAAAAAGAAAAAAGAAAAACCTTTTGTTTCACAAAGGGAAAAGAAAAAAAAAGTGTGAATTGGTAATGTACCGGAAAGAGTGTTTATATAGACAATGGTGCATAAGGTTTGGTCGGGTCAAATTTAGAAAAATCTAAAATATCAGCAAAATATTTCAGTCGATCAACTCAACCCCAAATGGGTAGTTTGGTCAGACATCATTAAATTAATTTTTAAATAAATAGTTAAAATATATTATGTGACTATTATTAAATTTAATAAATTCGAAAAGAATAAATATTTTATTATATGAAATAAAATTATAAAAAACAAAAAATATTGAAATAAAAATTGAATATATAGTATAACAAATTATTTAACTTAAGAAACAAAACTAATTTCTAAAAATGTCTTTTGAAAATACTTTATTTAAAAATTAAAAATTATACATAGAGGCTGATATTTTATAAAAGAGTGTGTAGATTACATTTCGGAGAATCCTGTATTAAGATTGTTGTGTTACATTAATATAATATAATTCTGGCACAGCTGAGTTTTTGATGAACTAATCCACAGGTGTATTGGTGAAGCTGCGGGTGTCATGTGAAGGAAGTAAACTTTCTGCACGGTTCATCATTGCCTTTCTTTCTGGATCAGTTCCTAAACCTTCTGGATCAGTTCATGCTCTATCATTGCTTATTATTATAATCAAATGACCTTCCCAATACCTAAAGTTTAATATGGTTTAGATAGAAAGTGACAACCATGACCACTTTTCGGGGAAAAAAACATACCCAGGTAGGATAACAAGATAAATGGCTTGATAAAAATATTTTTTTTATCAGTAGGCTAAATAAATATAATTGAATATTTAATATAATAATAACAAAGATTAAATAAATAAATAAAAGAACAAATTGACTCTACCCTCTGGACACGGCCCACTTTGTTCGAAAGGACCATTGGGCTTTATCGGTTACCTTTTACTTTCATAATGGACTTCATTTGTATATATATTTTACACGGCCCACATGGGTACTGAGTAATTAATAATCATTCTGTATACATACATATTGGAACTTAACATCCCCAAGTTTCCTATTGAAAAATCAAAATGCTCAAAGAAATTTGCTATTGAACTCGAATCAATTGGAGTGTAAAACGAAACACAAAACTTTAACAAGAAGTGCACCTTTCCTTAAGAAAAAGAATGAAAAGACTTAATTATATATATAAGAGTTGTGTGTGGAAATGGCAATTACGTACACCAGCAATTCCTTGACCTTTTATCTGAAATGGTAAAAGATGAAATGAAATAAAGTGAAATGAAATAGTATGATAATTATATTTGGACCGCATGTTGCCATGTTGGCTCCACTTCCTTTGACATTTACTCTAATCAATGAAGCATCCACATAACGACTGTAGCTGAAGATCGAAGATCTTCAATTACTGCAAAAAAGATATATAGTTTGCATTGCATTCAATAATATATAGGTTCTTTACATATGTAAGAGATATCATTTCAATTGGTTTGCGCTACCAACGTCTAATAATATTACATTTTAGTTTAGTTTGATAAACTGTTTATAAGTGACTTCATGAAATTGAAAGTCTTCAATTAATTAAATTGATTATTATATAACTAAACAAATCTAATATATTATTAATTATACAAATTAAAATGAATGAACCGAGGCAAGCCACAAATAATATCTATGAATGGCTTGATTCATTCACAATTTTACAAGCCTATATATAGAACCATGTCTTATTCTTTCTTATTTCATGCATGCACGGGTCGTTCCTTTATTACTAGATCACCCCATGATCCATGTCCGAATGATATATAGTTAGTTTATTAATAGCTTAAGTAATTACAGATTAATTTGTGATTAAATTAAATAATGCTTAAATAAAAAAAACATAGCCGGTATAATTTCATTCTCGATCTAATTTTTATAGTATTAATTTTTATTTACGTGACGGTATAATGGTTTAATCATTAATGTTACGTCACTCTCCACCGGTGTAATTTTGAGAAGTACTGTCTTCTCAATTTTCATACAACTTTTGTTCACACTATAAAAAAAATGTTATTTAATAAAAATATATATTAAATTAACTTCTATTAATATAAAACATATAAATTTAAACTAATATATAGTACAATATATTAATATATCAAATGTTAGTATAATATATTTTTGATAATATAGATATTTAATATCATAATAATAATTTTTTGTTCAATAAATATAATACTAATTTTTTAGTGTCTTAACATAGAATATATCCAGCTAGCGTATAGGATGGTGACTGGGTTTGAATTTTTCTTATGATCAGATAAGGAAAAGAAAATGATTGATTTTTCACTTTACTGGCACAGCTAAAAATCCAAGCAAAATGCACTTTATTTATTTACCTGAGGTGTAAACGTTCTAAACCAAATTTCTTTGCTTGTACATTATACATTATATTTATTTATTATTTTTGTTTTGACGTGACTTATTGATTCACGTATGAATAGGTGTTGTGTCAAATGAAGTTTAACTTATACATCAAAGTTACCGTCAAATCTTAAAATTTGTATATTATTTACGTATGATGCATTGTGTAAATAAAGTATTAAGTTTACTTAGCACTTCACGTATGAAATAAGATTTGAAATTAGTGTTATCCGAATTCAGCGTTTCAATTCTATTTGGCATGTACCCTATATTTGGAAAATATTTTTTAGTTCGATTTCATGGAAATAAAAAATTAATTAGTTTATATATACTTTATAATATATTTACTTCATATAGTAAACTATTACGATCACTAAAAAAGTTATCATTTATAATTAATAAAAAATCTTAATAATAAGATAAGTATTGTTAGAATAATTTTTATCTGATAAAAATTAAATTATTAGTAAAAATATGTATAATCTATACTAATAAATAATATAATATGCTAACGTTTGTATATTGATAATATATTAATGTTTTATAATAATAAAAGAAATATTAATACATAGTAATACATTTGTAGTGACTTACATATGTAAAACAAAGACAAAAGTAAAACCGATATCTTACATTTTGTTATTCATTGTCATTGTACACCACAGCCAAATCATTAGTAACTAATAATGACATAAATACATGTTGACAATAGTATAATATTGTTACCGAATAGCTTACAACCACATAGTCATAGAAAAAATTGATCGTAGACAGTGCATTTCTCGGGAACCCATAAAAAATGTGGCTGCAATAGATTGTTTGAGTTACTGTGTTATAAATACTAAATCAATTTAATTTTTTTTTAATCATGAAATTTTGCATTTTAGCATTATCATTATTAATCTCCCTCCTCCTCTAGCATGAAACAACTTCACTTTTCAAAGTAAAACGCGAGTCTAATGCATAATTTGAATGTATTAGGAAATAATTATGAACAAATAAATGAATGCTTTTAAACCTTCCAAAGCACACATAACTCTTAGATTCCTTTCACACTGGCCAAGGAATTGCAAATCAATTTGGAGTGACACTCTCCGGACCAAGTTTGACTACGTTGAATTAATTGGTAAAATAAAAAGTTGTTTATTCTTTTTATTTTATAAGTTAGAATGTATATGTTATTTACATTCATTTCGTAATAAATAATTTTTATTGCCTTATTAAAAAACAAGTTTATTTTAAAAGAATCCTATCCATATTCTTATTTCTATTATAATTTTTACATTTACTGTATAAAATTCTATGTACACATAAAATTTGAAAATCAAAATATGTGATAATATTTTATTTTGATATGTAATATATTATTTAAAATATAAATAAAAATAATTATATAAAAATATTTATATTGTTGAAATTTTAATATATATATATATATATATATATATAATCATTAATATAACAACGATTATATTAGTCACATTTTACAAAACGCCATCAAAATAATCAAGCATAAATGTATGATTATATAATTAAGTATAACTCATCTTGCATCTTAAACTCTCATTAGATTTGTCCATAATCTTAGTTCTATCTTTACTGTAAAAAATTTCAAATAAAAAAATTTCAATATAATATTAAAATATGATTTGTTTAAATATATTTTTAATTTTTATAAATATGATTAAATTTAATTTCAATCTTTTGAAAATATTCTTCATTTTAGACATCATAAATTTAACATTTTAAAAATGGTTCATTAATTTGATCACTAAATAAAAAGTGAGTTGTATATGAAAATATCACATTAGTGATTATTATGAGTGGTTAAATATATGCCGTATCACAATATATGTAAATACACTTTTTTCTAAAAAAAATTTTAAATGGTATTTTTTTTTACTTCTTGTTTTTTTGTTTTTACATGAGTTTACCAAGATCATATATATAATTTAAATTTGCATCATTATGAGATGGAATTTCGATGTCTTATTTACTTGTTTAACCTTTGTATACTTTCTTGTATTTAATTTAATACAAGTTATTTATAATAATTTTAATTAATAATGTCATTACTGTAATCAAGGCTAATCAAATTTGAACAATTACGTACGGGATATAACTTTGATTTTTTATAAATTAGATAAACTTTTATTGACCCTTCTTTTCTTAATTTTTTGTATGTTATTTATTATTTATAATATTTATTTAATAAATAATGCAGTCAATATTAGTGTCAACCAATTAATATATATATATGATTGCATATATTTTATCATGTTATAATTTTATTAATTACACAAAAATAGTGCTATGTTCCAAAAATAATTTATTGTTCACATTATTCAATAATGGTAGATAAGTCTTGTAAAAATGGAAGTTAGAAGGTTATCTAAATTTGTTATAAGTAACCAATAATTGAATTGCTAACTTCTCCGTCGTTAGGTTTTCCGTGTTACCAGCACTGATGTTAACACCCACCCTAAGAAAGCTTTTATATAACACCTTGTTCCAACTCTCATGTTTTTAATTGACGCTTAAATTTTGCAAAATTTTCAAAGATATGATGTAATAATGGTGGTATTGAGAGCTTATTACCTTGTTCCTTTTAGAATCATAAAGTAATATTAGTCTAAAGTTACCATCAAATCAATATGAATCAATATATTATAAATTTTATCTTAATATATATTTTTAGTAACTATACTTTTGAAATAATATTAAAAATTATTTATTACATTTAATGAAGTTATAATAAAAAAAGTAATTTTAAAACTTAAATATTTTACTTTTACTTCTATTTCCTTTTTCATCATATTTATTATCCAAATTAATGTTGGTAATGAGCATCCAATCAATTGGTTAAAATTTCAATGATTTTGCATTTTGACGATGCCAATAATTTATATTATGATTTTTTAAATAAATTTATATTATTAAAAATTAATAAGGGACTAATTAAAACAGTAAGAGATAAAAAAAATATAAAATTTACATAATAAAAATTATCTCCATTGAATTTTTTTATCTAATTATTAATCTTTGTCTATTTATAATTCTCATCTAATTGATTTTTAAATTAAGAGTTAATTGTATTTTTTGTTCATATAATTAAACTACTTTACTTGTGTTTTTAATCACTCTAATTTTAATTTTTTACGTTTAATCTCTTTAATTCTTAAATTATTCAAATTAAATCTCATTTATCATGAAACTTTATCTTGTAATTTATATAAATCAATAATACATTACATATTTTTTATTAGTTATCAAATGAAGCTCTATGATAAGAAACTTAGAGAGTGTATTGGATTAGGATTTTAAAAGACTTTTTAGTTGAAAAAAGTTATGCGGATTTTAAAAGACTTTGAAGGATTTTCATGATTTTTAAGTCTTTGCAAGATTTTAAAATCAGGATTTTAATGAATTCTGTAAGACTTTGTGAACTTAGTAGAATTTCGTGAATTTTTTATATAAAGAGTTCAATATTTTTTCATATAATCAAATTTAAAAAGAGTCAAAGATAAAAATAATAAAAAATAATAATGTCTGGATAAATAATAATAATAATAATTCTCTGTAATATTATGTCCTCCTAAATAGCATTCACTCACATATTCATAGTTATACTAGTCCTCCAAGTATTAGTATCTTTTTGCTTTTGTTCATAGGTTTGAATTATAAACACAAAATTATTATCTTCATTAACTGGTAATATTGAAGATGAAAGTTTGTCCATCGGTTCAATTAAGAATTCATTAGAACGACATTATTTGTGAAGAAAGTTATGCAATGTTGCATATGCTAATACAAGTTCTACGTGTGTCTTAATTAAAATGAAGGTGCTAACTTTAAAATTGTGAACCTTGATTTAAAAATACTAAATATTCTCTTGATCACAGTACTTAAAAATTGTGAATCTTTCTCTTTTCTTGATGCATATTATAAAATAATTATTATTTAAAAGTTAAAATTTTAAACATTTTTAAAAATAGTAGTACAATATTATATATGAGCAATAGTGCAGTATTATTAGCAAAAAAAAATAAAAAAATAGAGAAAATAGGAGTACTAGAAAAAAAGACATAAAAAATTTATCTAAACTTAAAAAGTCACTTCAAATAATTTTTTAAAATCTGATAGGTTTGGATGGAATTATTTTATAAATTTAATATTTATAATACCACTAAAAATTCTTTCAAAATTTTTTTAACACAACAATCCTTTAAATTTTTTATATTTTTTTAATACCAATAAATTATTTTTAAGTTGTAAAAAGTCTTAAATGAATATCAATAGACTTTTTAAAAAATCTTAAAAATTTAAATTAAATACCACTGAATTATTTTTAAATAACATAAAATCTTGATTAAATATAAACTGACTTTTTTATTTAATTTTTTTTAAAAAATTCTATAAAATCCTAAACTAATACATTCCCTTAATTTAAATAGAGGATCCATATCCAAATTCCTACTTACGTGGAAATGCCTAATAAATTCTAAATCGTGGCACTTAAAAAGTCAACAAATTTGAGACATGAGAATTTTAAGTTTGAAGTTTCAACTAATTGTTTGTAGTGTTTACACTTCACAAGGCCCCATCGTCGAAAAAAGAAAAAGAAACAAGAGAAAAAAAAAAAAAAAACTCAATCCCAATCATACCCTCATTTTTGTATATATAAAAGGGTCTACTTACTTTCTTCCCACACTCATCACAACCATTCTAAACGATAAAAATAATAGAGAACTCAACATGTCCAAACTAGCCACTCTCTTCACCTTTGCTCTTCTATTGAGCTTCAATTTAATCTATGCCTCCCGTCCTAACCCAGTTTTCAATGGTGTCTCTTCATTGCATGAGGTACTTACTTTTCTTTTCTTTCTCAATTTTAATCACCAAAGTAAGTGAATCCGTATGATTATATTTTATTTTCTTTTGTGTGTTCTTAAAAAAATGGTTCTTATTTTGGTGAAGACATGCCGTGAGTCAAAATATTTTATTTCACGACTAACATGATTTGCGATACTTGGTGTTATTTATTTTTTGTTCTCTATATAATTGTTCATGGTTTTGAGAATTGCCATGTTTCAATCGAAGGATGTTGCAGCTAACAAGGTAGAGATAGATGATGAGAGTTGTGAAGAAGGGACAGAGGAATGTTTGACGAGAAGGACACTAGCTGCGCATACCGATTATATCTACACTCAGAAGCATAAACCCAGAAATTGATTAAGGGCATCATCATACAGGCGTTTAGGACCCAAATAACGATAAAATAAATCAATATACTATACATGTTTATATAAATGTGTATGTTTTTGTTTCATTAATGAAATATATATGTTTTTTTATTTTGAGGTTTTTTTTTAAACAACTGCTGATCAGTACCTTCAACGATACAGTTTAGACACTAATTAACGAGACCTTGGTTGAAATTATGCGTTAAGTAGACTCATATTATACTAATTATTACAGGCGAGTTTGATAAACTTTAGCATACTCCGGAAGCCTCTTGTTCTCTGTTCTTTCAGTTCAGCTTAGTTAGAATTAGAGCGAGGAAGTGGCTTTATTATATAGTTTAATGGAAAATTTTTAATTTGGAATTTGGAGTGACATACTTTTCAAAGTACTGTATCATTCAACGCAATGTTTGTACCAAGCAAAGTGAATGACTTTTACTGTTAATATTCAAAGTAATATTTATTTTTTATCGACCAATATCCTTGAAATACTAAACAACATTTATTAATGAAAATTTTTATCAAGCACATTCAGCTTTTTAATGTCTCAAAACATATAATAAAACTTTATTATAAATGTTAACTAGCGTTCATAAAGTATTGATTAAGAAATTAAAATTAAAAATTTATCTTAGAATGTTATATCAGTGCATTACTGTCGTGATTTGTAATGTAACTCAATAAACTTTTTAATAAAAAAATATTATTTATTTCTTTTTATTGTATGTCTTAAATTACTTTTAAAAAAATTGTTTAATTTTTTAAGGTGCCAACAAGTATGATATTTAATTAAAAAATAATACATAAAATATTTTATTAAAATTAATGTTAATATTATATTAAAAACCACAAGAGAAATGTATCATCAAACTTTTTAGTAAAATATTTCTACTTTAAATTTATTTAAAAGGTGCCCTAAACTCATCAACATTTGACCTATTTTTAATTTTACAGATTTTCATGGCAGGTGTGTTCATGGTATAAACACACTATTAAAAATTACAAAAATTATATGGGTCTGACCTTTAATTTGGTATTTTTTTTTTCATATGCTTGTGTAGTTTTTATTAAATTTGAATCAATAACTAGAAGTGTGTTAAAGAGAGTATTTTTAACACTTCTCTTCCTCATATTAAATCTTCCATGGAACAGTTTCCATGTTTTCAGTTTCCAAAATTAACGAATAGGTGAAACTTCAAAGCAACAAAGCAGAAGATGAAACGCCTGAGCATACAAACCCTAGGGTGCGGAAGGCACATTGAATGACTTCTTTAATGGGACATCGAATGAATGAATCTACCTCTTCTTCAAAACTTGTGAGTAAATAGGAGTGTTTCACTAGTTGGCTTCCCTTTCATATGAAACCCCAAATGTTCTATATACCAAACTCTAATACCATGCATGCATGACTCACTTCTAACATCACCAACTTTGTTACTAAGTAGTCAATCGTGTGAATAAGCTGCTTTCGGTGAATTACTGGCTCGATAGTAGTAACGTGAATTTGAATATATCAACACCGTACTTTGCTTTAACTCAAAGTAAACCTTGAAGTCAAACAAAGTGTAACTGAAACTGTATAATTGATACTGTAATAAAAACATTCTATTCAATTAAATTAAAATAACAAAACTATATATATATAATGACTACATAGTTTGATAGTGTTGATCTGTTCAATTAGTTCAAAGTTGAGTAAACTATTAATTAAATACTACTGATTCTATTTTTAATTAAAAATAACTACCGAATTTATTAAGACCAATAAAAAATTAGTTATATGTCATAAATTTATACTTTATTTTAAAAATATCATAATATTAAATGATTCATTTGATTTGTTATATATTAAATAAATGAATGTATCCATTTTTATAGGTAAAAGATAAGTATCTTATTAATACAAATATTATAATTATAATTATAAATAAGGATAAACAAAAATTTTGGTGATTGTTTTTTTTATAAATATAACTAAAGGTAGTAGAATTGAAATTAAATGAGTGAATAAAATAATCTAAATCACATATTTTAACAAAAAAAATGTTTGCTTTTAATTTAAAAAATTCTAACTTTATATATACCAAACGAGTTCATAATTTATATAATGATAGAGAGATTGTAGCCATACTTTATGTGTGCGCGTGGAAACGATAGTGGCAATACTAAAGCAACTCAAAAGTCTCCGTTCAATAGCTCTTGTGTCCCTCTCAAGGCTCAAATGATAGAACTTGTCAGTTTTACTAAACAAAATGGAGTCCACATTTAAAATGGAAAAATTAAAGAAAGAAAGAAAGAAGAAAAGGCAATTAATATACAGGTGTTACGTGATTAAAATGCCATAAATCTAATCTATGATAAGACTCAACTTGGTGACATGGGTAGAGAGGCACTAAATAGAATGCTTGAGTCAAACAAAGTCATAGACAGCAACCAATGGTTCTCATGATTAAGAAAATAATGGCAATTTGTTTACCATTATGGATATAGAATTCCAACATGTAACATCGTTCACATTTTCCAACTAAAAGTTCAACCTTTGATGTAACTATCAATCTCATGGGCTATCAACAGTGGTACGAATTTGTCCAACACCTAACTCTAGTTGCTCCAAAGTAAAATTAGCGTCAAATAAGGCTGTGTGTTGTTTGTCATCATGCATAAATGTTGTACCAAACAGATCAATGCGTCGAATGCAGAAGAAAAATCAAAGTCACCATAAAATGTGAGGAATCATATGACCAGTGTTCGTGAAATTGGATAATCATGTTTCACGGGCGGATTTCCAATGAATACCCTTGACAAGTAGTTGCTACCTAATATATAACACGTCGAAATGTTAGTCATCATATGCTACTCAATGTGAATCAAATCAAAATAACTAAATCCTTGATTTGGTACTTAAAATATTAATCCTTAATTGTTTTAGGACAAAATCCTTCCACGGTTGCATGTTACTTGTACTCATTCGAAATAAAGAAATTTTTTTCAGGTTAAAAAATATGGTCAAGATTTGTTACTTTTCTTAAAGATGTCCTTGAATAATTACATGCTCGTATAACAAAACAAGTTAAAGTAAAAATTTTAAGTAGACATTTACAGTTTTGATGAGTAATAAACTGTCTTATATAAATTTATTGAATATTAATAAGTGGCTAACGAAGGTAGTTTCTATTATAAAAGATAAAAAATAAAAATAATAAAAGATTTTAAGAATTATAAATTAAAATGTTTTACAACGATAATAGACTAAAATATTTTAATGGATAACAGTTTTAAAGATTAAAATGTGTCATATACGATATTATTTTTATTATATAATTAATCGTATATGTTAATTAATGTGATATATCAATATTATATTATGATTTATTAACAATGTTTCACTTTAGAGACTAAAATGTCTAATGAAAATAAAAGTTAAAGAACTAACATGACATTCACCATAACAAAAATAAATTTTACTAGCCATTATTTAGTAACCATAAATATTTTGCCAAAAAATCATTCTTCAAATTTTAATTAATATACTAATTAAATATTAGTCAATAAAAGTTTAATTTTTACTGACAATTAAGATAATTTTTTTAAAATTAAAATAAATGCCAATTAAAAATATACAGAACTCTTGAAATTGAAACTTCACTTTCTTTCTCATCTCTGTGAACAAAATCTCTCACCTATTGCATGGGTATCTTGTTTATGTGAACCAGAGTCTCTCTATGTGAACTAAAATTTCTCTCTCATTGCATGGGTATCTTGTTTCTGCGAACCAAAATCCTTCTCTTATCACATGGACAGACTCTTATCACATGGGTAGATCTAAGAAGAATGCATCCGTATTCTTCTTGATTTTTAGAAAATTCAAGTGAGTTTTCAATTAGTTCATTTTGCTTTCGATTACTAGTGAGTTTAGTTTTAGATGTATGGAGAGATAATACTAAAATTTTTGGTCATATGATTATGGAGGTTATTTTTTTTAACAATTAACAATTTTGAAACTTGATCCTTTTTGTATTCTCTTCTTGAAGGTTTATATATTTAATGTTGTTTTGTGTTCTCTGTCGTTCCTGAGATATGGCAAATTTAGTAGTGCACAAAAAATTGAATGAAATAAACGTTAAAATGCCTTTATATAAATATTTTTTTTCTATTTTGTCCATAATTTACTTTTTATGTTAATTTTAAGACATTTTGCCAATGCAAGGGATTCTCAACATTTCACGCTCTATTTGCATCATTTATGTCATTTTACCTCTTGATTTATCAAATATCTCCAATTAAGATTCACAAGAAGGACATATTGTTATAGATCATTTACTTTCTCTAATTCAGTATTGGAGGTATGTTAATGTATAAGCAAATTTTAACTTGTTTAATATGATAAAAGCTTATTTTTAAATTCTTTTGCATTCTAACTAGTTTAGACTAAATTAATGGTGATGCTTGTGGGGTATTGATAAAATATATTGACTTATGAAGTGAATGTAATTATTGTAATATTTTTGATTTATAATTTAATATTCATATTGTATCATTTGTGAGAATTAATAGTGTTATAATTGATAGATTTTAGATAAGGAAGCAACGAAGGAGGTGAGAGAGAAGAAAGAGATATATGATAAAAAGCCTGGTTATATTGTGCAACTTCAAGTGGTATGAACTAGTTTATTTTTGAAGATTTGCTTGGTTTTTGTTTGTGATGATAATTTAATGTGATCTTTTTTTTTTTCGTTATTACATTGGTTGGTCCAACAGGAAGTGCTTGAGAACAAGAGGCATTGCGAGGCTAATGTTGGCCTTAATTCAGCGTTTAGAATTAGGAGGTTGGTGGCTGGGATTGGGATTGAGTTTATGTTCTCAGTGTGAGTATTAACTTTTCATTTTTCAAGTGGATTTAGTTGTATATGAGTTGTTTGAACTAGTAAAACTATGTGTTATCTTTTTTGTTGGCATTCAAGCTATGTTTTGTGTACTTAATGAAAAAGAATGGTATAGCATTGGGTAAAGTTATCATTGGTTTGAATTTGAATCTTGTTA